GGAAGTAACGCTAGAGTAGACTCGCGAAAAGTGTATAAGACACTTTTAAGATCAACTAAATAGCTAAGCCCAAGGGAAGTCGTTCGGGGAGGCCCTCCCTAATTCCACAAGGGTGAGAAGAAACACACACGATAACGAAACGTTGAATCATGTAGAACTCGTAGGGTAAATGCAAAGCAATTTATAGTAAGAATATGCAGTAAGCTAAGCGAAGAGGTAAGCAAGGTTAGACTATACTACAACTACTAAACGTGTTATTTCTACTACTACATTACTACTACATACAAAAAAAAATAAAAACATCTACAATCAACAATTACTTCAAATAAAATGAACAAAAATAAGCATGCAAAATAAAAACTAATTCAACTACAAAACAAACATGCAAAATAAAAAATTAATTTGAATAAAATGGACTTAATGAATTCTACTAGATAGAACATGCAAGATAAAGAACTATTTTAACTATGGGGTCATCTTTGTCTTCTCCGACGTCGATCTGAAACAGATACGGTGGTAACAGATTAATAAAGAGAAATTAAAATTAATTATATCAAGTATTCTCACCTTAATTATCTGTATACTGTAATATTCCAAAGTTTGCAGGTGTGAAAAGCAAACCAAGTCCAAGAGAAATACCACTTGCAGAAAATTTGTTATTTTAGCGGAAACCAAATAAATATCCAGTTGCTCTAACTCATGGGTTAAAAATTAACTACATGATGTTGCAAGGCGAAGACGAAACAGCAAATCAAGAATATACTCCATGAAAAACCACACCCATCCAGACATTGGTTGACCAAGCTGAACTTTAATTCTCTCTCATTTGTTGGACGATCTGCAGAAATGGACAAAAAAAATATTAATTACGCTATTACTTAAGGAAGAGATTAAACACACCTAAAACACGCATCAAAAAGCAAATAAAACAGCTGAACTATAAAATGGCGACAAACGTCAAGTTTACTTAATGACAGATTTTGATGCAGACAATAGATGAATATTGAAATACCATAGATGCACGATAAAACCAATTTACGCTGTAAACAATAGATAAATGTTAAACGAAATTCCATAGATGTTGTGAACAATAGATATTTAAACGAAATATTGTACGTACGCCATAACCTCAATTAATACTGTAGACAATCGATAATTGTTAAAAGAAATGCCTTAACAGATTAATAAACAGTATTCTCACCTTAATTAACTACAGAAAGTAGCGTTCTAAAGGCTACCAGTATTATGAGCAATTCAAATCTAGGAGGGACGCCACTGCAGATAATGTTCTTTCCGTTGTTTCCAAATTAATTTTCAGTTGCCTCCCATTCTCGGGGCCAAAATTAACTGCATAATATTGTATGGTGAAGACATCAAAAGCGTCGGTTGTTTTAGTAGCACTAAAATCAATTTCTTCTCACCCGTTAGGACAATCTATAGAAACAGGGAAGAAAATGCAATTAATTACTACTTTTAAAGCAAGTAAATAAGTAACATTCACACTGATAAAAAGATCTGTTCCACAGTAATTCTGCTTGTTTGAAAGTTGTCTATTGAAGTAAGTTATAAATGANTCAACAATTACTTCAAATAAAATGAACAAAAATAAGCATGCAAAATAAAAACTAATTCAACTACAAAACAAACATGCAAAATAAAAAATTAATTTGAATAAAATGGACTTAATGAATTCTACTAGATAGAACATGCAAGATAAAGAACTATTTTAACTATGGGGTCATCTTTGTCTTCTCCGACGTCGATCTGAAACAGATACGGTGGTAACAGATTAATAAAGAGAAATTAAAATTAATTATATCAAGTATTCTCACCTTAATTATCTGTATACTGTAATATTCCAAAGTTTGCAGGTGTGAAAAGCAAACCAAGTCCAAGAGAAATACCACTTGCAGAAAATTTGTTATTTTAGCGGAAACCAAATAAATATCCAGTTGCTCTAACTCATGGGTTAAAAATTAACTACATGATGTTGCAAGGCGAAGACGAAACAGCAAATCAAGAATATACTCCATGAAAAACCACACCCATCCAAACATTGGTTGACCAAACTGAACTTTAATTCTCTCTCATTTGTTGGACGATCTGCAGAAATGGACAAAAAAAATATTAATTACGCTATTACTTAAGGAAGAGATTAAACACACCTAAAACACGCATCAAAAAGCAAATAAATTAAACACACCTAAAACACGCATCAAAAAGCAAATAAAACAGCTGAACTATAAAATGGCGACAAACGTCAAGTTTACTTAATGACAGATTTTGATGCAGACAATAGATGAATATTGAAATACCATAGATGCACGATAAAACCAATTTACGCTGTAAACAATAGATAAATGTTAAACGAAATTTCATAGATGTTGTGAACAATAGATATTTAAACGAAATATTGTACGTACGCCATAACCTCAATTAATACTGTAGACAATCGATAATTGTTAAAAGAAATGCCTTAACAGATTAATAAACAGTATTCTCACCTTAATTAACTACAGAAAGTAGCGTTCTAAAGGCTACCAGTATGATGAGCAATTCAAATCTAGGAGGGACGCCACTGCAGACAATGTTCTTTCCGTCGTTTCCAAATTAATTTTCAGTTGCCTCCCATTCTCGGGGCCAAAATTAACGGCATAATATTGTATGGTGAAGACATCAAAAGCGTCGGTTGTTTTAGTAGCACTAAAATCAATTCCTTCTCACCCGTTAGGACAATCTATAGAAACAGGGAAGAAAATGCAATTAATTACTACTTTTAAAGCAAGTAAATAAGTAACATTCACACTGATGAAAAGATCTGTTCCACAGTAATTCTGCTTGTTTGAAAGTTGTCTATTGAAGTAAGTTATAAATGACTTCTGAAATTGAATTTCTGGGACCTCACTTTTTGTAATTGATACTGTTACATACCAGTTCATTGTCATAAATCTTTCCCTCAGCAACAGCCACTGTCTCCATTCCCAATGAAGAAATGGCATTTTCATGCTTTCTGTAGGGTCGTAGGTACAGCTACTTTCTATATTCTACTAAATATAGCATGTGTGCTCACCTTAATTAATTAACTACAAGAGTTTTCAAGATGGAAATTTAACAGATGCACCACAACATCATAGGAGGGAGACGACTTGTTTTTTCAGTAGCATCAAAATGAATTTCAATCTCCTCACTAGTTTATCATCAATCTCTAAAAACAGAAAAAAACGAATTAACTATTGTATGAAGTAAATAAATAATGAAATAGAATAAAAACACTTACAAAAAATTTGTTACTTTTAAAATGGCGATGTGGTGTGGTTTCTCTTTCAAGACAAAATGTATATAATAATTATAATAAGAAAAATAGACATCCGTTACCCGGAAAATTTAAATATTTAATCCTTATCCCTTTTCTTCTCTCTCTCTCAAATCAAAAGTCAAAATATATGCGGGAAATGAATAAATAAAAAAAATAAACACTCGTATTAAATAAATGAAACATAAAATAAAACAAAAACATGTAACCAAAAACCACTGTCAAAAACGAATAAAACGACAAAATTTTAAAATGACGACGTTTCAAGACATACCTTTAACAATTTTGTCAATTTAATTTATGCTGTGTACAACTGCGAAAAACAATAATATAGTATGAATCAATCAATCTAAACATTCAGGATATTACACGTAGAAAAAAATAAAACTAATTGTGGGAAAAAATTAGCCTAGTAAATTAAATTTAAAAGACGCGAAAAAACATCCTGCCGCCACGAACAATTACCAACTTCTAATGAACCAAGAGCGTTTCAAGTTCAAGCTTGCCACGCAATTGCGAAAGCTACTGCATCAAGCACTGATGACGCGTATAAAGCGCCAATCAGAAGCATCAAATTCGATTTCGCGGCAAAAGTTCATAATTTAACCAATCGCGTAAACTAGTTTCAACCCCGTTTTACAGAAGTGAAAGTGAGTATTAAAGAAGAAGATAGTGATTGTAGATTGAATTACGGATGTTCTGGAATATTAAATTATATAAAGATAATAAAAATAGAAAATAGTTTTCCGCCCCTCCTTGAGATATAGCCCATCCAATAAAAAAAATCATCAAAATCGGTTCACAATCATAGCGGAACACACATAAAAAACAATACAGTGGAATTGAGAACGGGTTAAATAAATTATACGTAAAACCCATGATTAAAAATACAAGAAAAATAATTAGAAATGATATTAAGTTTGGATAAATGTTTAAACTGTTTGTCTTAGTTTAGATATGAATAACATCTACCTATACNACTCTAAACATAACGGAATACACGAGCGAGAGACACTGGAAACTTAAAAAGGGAGCATTACAGAAGAAAATAATGCTACTAAATTGAATTACGGATGTTCTGGTATATAAATTATTCAAAGATGAGACAAAGACCTACTTCAGAAATAAAACCATAATATTAATAAATACCATGTATTATCAACCGCAATCTGACTGATTCATAAATACACAAAATAACGTACTTATTTTACAATTATTACAATTTAATCATTAGCAAATAAGTATGTATTATTTCTGTGGTTTAATTTATACGTAATTAAATCAAAAGATTTCTTAGTTAAATAAACTCTACTTATTATCGTCAATTTATCTGGTTTAGGGATCTTAAACTACACATAAAGATAAAAATATTAAATTTTTGCGAATTGCCACTTTCACAAGACAAGTAAGTAAAATGAAACGACCAACAAAACAAAAATTGTACTATAAAAATATATTAATACATAGCTTCACGATGATGTTAACTGTAGGGTTTATCGCATTCCTGTGGTATAATAAAATTCGACCTAATGGACAAGAAGTTGAATTTTTTAAACATTAAGATACTAGGTACTTGCAGTATAATTTTAGAAGTACCTTATTGTCATTTGTAAAACATTTGTTCACAATTAAAGTTTTTTTAGTATATTAATAAACAGTTTCCGTGTCCGAATTATTAATAAAATGAATGTAGAATATACGATAGACAATATTAATGACAGGATAAATAATTTATTTAAAGTTGAATTCATCTGATCGGTCGATTTTAGTTATTCAGAATTTGATGTTTTTATAAAATTAATAGTAACATCTAGATATAATTTGTACTTAAAAGTACCTATGTATTCTGTCATCTTTTGTTTTTTTTTTCAAAAACCTAAATGAAATTAATTAACCCAGCATTATGTACAGTATATATATAACTTGATTACTTTTCCTCATTATAGCTAACGACTTAACAGGGTTTACAAACCCGGGCGTTGGTCTGAGGGGAGAGGATGAGTAGTTGGTCTTAGGAAATCTGGGAAGGTAAAAACACCAAAAAACGTGAACCGACGAAAACACTCGTACATAAGAACATTTTACAAGTAAATAATATAAATTCAATATACCTACTATTCTTGAAACTGCTGATACAGACTATTACTCATATCAACAAAGTAAAAATTAGAATGTAATATTCATCTTATACACGAACGTAAGGAAGTTTTAATTATAAAACCGTTGTGAAAAAATTGATATGTCCCTTTCGTTACCATAAGGGTGGGAGATTTTCGTTTTTATTTGCAATAATTAAAAATTACAGATAGTTTTTCCATTCTTGTGCCAGCGAAAGGTGCATGCCAAAGTTTTTACAAGGATTTTATAACTAAAACTTCATTTCTTTTCATTGGAATGAAATTCGAAAACACGGATTTTTTAAAAAATAAGTTACAAGTTACTTAATTCTTGGACAGAACATCAAAAATTCATTGCTTTTTTCTCATCGTTGTTGCTATATCCTAACTAAAAAAAGGGATATATAACTTTTTTCAATCAATCTCTATTTTTGATTAAAAAGCACCTATCTCCCTGAATATTATTACTTTATTATACTTTTATACTCTTATCCCAATTTTCCCAAATAAAGCTAACAGTTTCTTCACCGCATTATTAACTATAAGCAACTTTACAGTTATTAATTCTTCCCCAGAAGTATTAATGATACATAAGACAAGCAATTATGGGGTGAAGGTTTCTTTAATTAGAATATATAATCAAACACCAAGGTTTTGCGTTTACATGAAAATGCTTTTTCAAGGTAAGATTATACAGTCATAAAAATTCATTTTTTGTAGGTGTTATGGAACATACTTTACTTTCACCCTTGATTAATAATCTAATTATTTTCTTAATAATTACCTATCACAATTTTTTTTTCGATACAGGACGACTAACATACACTTTAAAACAATAAATATAATAAATAATAAATAATAAAAATGTAAAGNTTTCCTCATTATAGCTAACGACTTAACAGGGTTTACAAACCCGGGCGTTGGTCTGAGGGGAGAGGATGAGTAGTTGGTCTTAGGAAATCTGGGAAGGTAAAAACACCAAAAAACGTGAACCGACGAAAACACTCGTACATAAGAACATTTTACAAGTAAATAATATAAATTCAATATACCTACTATTCTTGAAACTGCTGATACAGACTATTACTCATATCAACAAAGTAAAAATTAGAATGTAATATTCATCTTATACACGAACGTAAGGAAGTTTTAATTATAAAACCGTTGTGAAAAAATTGATATGTCCCTTTCGTTACCATAAGGGTGGGAGATTTTCGTTTTTATTTGCAATAATTAAAAATTACAGATAGTTTTTCCATTCTTGTGCCAGCGAAAGGTGCATGCCAAAGTTTTTACAAGGATTTTATAACTAAAACTTCATTTCTTTTCATTGGAATGAAATTCGAAAACACGGATTTTTTAAAAAATAAGTTACAAGTTACTTAATTCTTGGACAGAACATCAAAAATTCATTGCTTTTTTCTCATCGTTGTTGCTATATCCTAACTAAAAAAAGGGATATATTACTTTTTTCAATCAATCTCTATTTTTGATTAAAAAGCACCTATCTCCCTGAATATTATTACTTTATTATACTTTTATACTCTTATCACAATTTTCCCAAATAAAGCTAACAGTTTCTTCACCGCATTATTAACTATAAGCAACTTTACAGTTATTAATTCTTCCCCAGAAGTATTAATGATACATAAGACAAGCAATTATGGGGTGAAGGTTTCTTTAATTAGAATATATAATCAAACACCAAGGTTTTGCGTTTACATGAAAATGCTTTTTCAAGGTAAGATTATACAGTCATAAAAATTCATTTTTTGTAGGTGTTATGGAACATACTTTACTTTCACCCTTGATTAATAATCTAATTATTTTCTTAATAATTACCTATCACAATTTTTTTTTCGATACAGGACGACTAACATACACTTTAAAACAATAAATATAATAAATAATAAATAATAAAAATATAAAGGCGAAACGTTGGTGTTTGATTATATACTTTAATTGAAGAAACCTTCACCCTATAATGAGCTTGTTCAGAAATTTTTTTTTATTCATAAATCGAAAGTTCAAGTGAAAAATAAGGGATATGTAAAAAATCAAAATTTTATTGGCACGTTTAGTGTCTTAAAAACAATTACGAAGTGCCTATTTTAGGGAAAAAGGGAGCAGCCAGGCGTTACGTCATTATACGCATAGGGTTGAAGATTGTACGCGACTCAACGCTAGTTATTAATCATTACAGACTGTATTTACGGAGTATTTATTGTAGGTATACATTATTTGATTCTATATGACTTCAAAAATGTGCTCGTTAGTATTGCACAATTTCAGAATATAAAATACAAAATAAAATCGGATAAATGATTTATCTGTTTTCCATCCGACCAAAGGCTAATGAGAATGGCACGGCAACATGCCAGACAGAGATATGACTTTATTCGTCAAAAGCAAAAGATTCTACAATATTTTTTGTTTTAAATATAAATATAAGTTGATGATGACATAGAGACTATCTTTATATAAAAATCTTTAAAAGGGAGAATTAAATTAAAATATTTTTGATTACCAAAAAAAAGCTACATTAGACAATATATACTAAGATGACACAGTTGCCATTTTTGCTTCTGAGAGCCTTTTTTCAGATGTATTAATAGTACGTTATAATTTTTTCTTTTAATTTTGTCTTCCCGATATGGGTTTCTAATCTTTGTCTTTATTTAAGAAAGTAATTCCGGTTGTTTTAATGTCTCCCAGATGTATAATACAGAGAATATGCCCACATATTTATACCCGTTTATAATAAAGATCAAAGTTTATATGTAAAAATAAGCAGTAAGAACTTATAAATTTTTTATTTTGCGATAGACCAATTTTGACTTTGCCTCTTTATTCCATTCCATTTTTTTCTCAACTGATAGATTAATAGGAGTAAAATATATGGTATTAATACATTCAAATAATTAATTTAAATAAAA